CTGTTTGAACAAAGGACGCTGTAGAAGTATGACTCATTCCTCGAGTGCGTGTTATGACTAAGCTGGTTTTCTACAGCTCACCGTAGTAATACGAGGAATCCATGTTTGCTGCCTGGAAGAAGCTGAAAGATAAATATGTATGTAACACGGCTAACATGTCGAACAGTTCATCTGAATTTTCTGGATACCTGAGAAAATTCAAATCAAATCAATGATTATTAGATGTGTTTGGTCTCCGCCCACCCCACCACTATGGTCACTGCCTACTTTGATGCAGAGCGTCTGAGCTTTGATGACAGCTACAAGACTGAAACACAGAGTGAGCGTCAGGCAAAACTCTAACATTATGAACTGAACTGCTGAGCATTTTAAGCTCATGTTTATGTAAAAATACTGAAGCTAACAGACGCAGGAAGTTTATTTTACATCCCTGCCTGGTGGGTTCTGGCTAAGAGCATAAAGTAGAAGCAAAGCATCGCTGCAAATAAGCTGTAGAGTAGAAACACGCTTGTCATGTGTACGCTCTGTGGTGACAGAAATAACACGGTGCAGAGACTAGAGCAGGTCGTGTCCATGTCGTGAAGGTGGGAAGAAGTTTATTAAAGAAAAGCTTTAAGGAGAGAAGAGCTGCCACAGAGTGATGGAGCAACAATAAAGGAGTGAAGAAACTGAAGTGAGGATGCGTCGCTATTACCTACTGTACACAAACAGCTGCCAGAGCGTTCACACAGTTCAATGAGTGATTTTTGCAGCCTGGTAAATCTGATTTACAAAGTTGTAGTTGGACCCAACATGTAACTACCCGTCTGTAAGTAACTGGTCAGCACATTCACTCGGTTGTTTTGTGAGGCTGTTAAAATAGTAGTAAAACACATCTCCTGGTTTACTTTCTGACTAAACGGTGAAAACCCAGCAGTTCCATCATTACACAGTCTGCCTCAGCTGCTAGGCTCTCTGACCACAACTACACCACACCTTTCAAATTCAGCCGCTGTGGGCCGAGGTCGTCTCACGTTGAGTCAGCACGGCGGTTTGATGGACAGCTCTCATAAAAGTCCAAATGAACCTTATATTAATGGTTAAAGACATTGTAGATCTAAAAGTGTACATCCAGGTCAGTGTGATCTTAAGATTTCTTTATTTTTAAAGAGTCAGTGAGAGATTACTGACAGAAAACGAAGAGAGTGTAAGACATCAGAAGAATGTAGGTAAAGTATTAAGGAGGAGGAAATGTCCCTTCCTTTGTCTGTATCTGTTTAATTTGGAAAGTGTTAACTTCACTCTGAAGGGACGAACTTGAACTCATCCAGTAAATGAAGTGCGTCTGTTTTCAGGCTGCACTATAGACCTGTGTGACCGTCAGTGTAATATCCATGAGTTTGATTCATGTCTGCACTCAGATGATCGTGTGTTTGTAGGGAGTTTGAACTTCAAGTAGCTCATGTTTCCAGCTGTTGTGATCTGTTAGTCACATCTGTCTGAGTCTAGAGAAGAACAGCTTTAAAAACTGATGACGTAATGTTCCAGCGATCGAACGATGCTTGTAGATGAAGTGATAACTCGGATACTCAGCTGCACTCATATTTTATTTTTCATTGTTGAATGTTTGATTTTCCTCACTGTGGGGACAGTGACTCGTAGATATCACAGAATATACGTTCGTATCTAAAGCTCGCTGGGCAGAGATCACCGAGCCACGGCGATTTTTTAACTCAGCTTTGTTTTTTGATGAATATGTTGCCACTTTTACTGTTGCATCACCAGCTCAAGAACAATGAGCCTGTTTAGAGCTTTCTAGAAACGATGACGTCGTGCTGTAGGTATGGACTTTGGCAGCAGGCGAGGGAGGATTTCAACATGTGCAAAATACCAAATGGTCTGCAAAATGTAACAAGTGCAGCAAATGAAACGTGACGGTAACAGATCAAAGCTCAGTTTATCTGAACAAAGTCGACGCCCATCAAATATTTCAATTTCATTCACTTGCATTTCACCTTTAACCTTCATCATCATTCAGCAAATATGAATTTATCACCCAATCAGGTTATTGTTTAGGACAGCAATGTGTGTGTGCGCGTGTTGAAGACAAAAAGACATTCATTACAGCAGTCACTCTGTTACGATTACACGGTGCACACTGGCTTCTTTTGCTGATAAAGGAGTCCAAAGGTCAGGGCTTGGGCGTCCTGGCACAACGATCATGTAAGTGCAGAAAAAAGAAATCAATAATGAAAGAGCGAAGGCCGGGAGGGGGCTGGGATCAAACGCTGTGGATCTCCGAGCTGCTTTACTCTGAGCTTATTGGCAAGCTGAAATAAAGTTTGGGTATAACCCAAAGCTAGGAGCGCGGCGCTGACATTTGTAATCACATGCCCCAAACAGCGACTCCTCTTCAGCTGTATCAGTTACCAGGAGCTGATGTAGCTGCCGCCTTTGTCCAGGAGGCAGCCAGTGCAGATCAGCTGGCTCTGCCCCTGAAGGAAGCAGATCACAGCTGCACGACAACAACCGCCTCTTTGGGCCTCTGCAGCTAAAAACAAACAGGCTAAAAAAGCTCTGTCCTTCCCAGCTGCTCTAAAATGTTGAAAGAGGTCTTTTTTGTTCGTGTTTGCTGTTATTAGCCAATAAAGTCCAAATGTTTGAAGTCGACTGTCTATATGTTGTTGCAGCTTTGTGCTAATCTGGTTTTTACATCACTTCCTGTGGAAACATTGCACCAAGAGAAGAAATGGCTGTCACTCTGTTTTGTCTTCCTTCTTGTCATATTCTTGACATTTTTTTATTTCTGCTTGCCCTCTAATTAATCTAAGGAGCTTGCAAAGAAAAGCGTCTGGACTTCTTTGAGTTGCTTGAAGACGTTTCACCTCTCATCCGAGAAGCTTCTTCAGTTCTAAGGGTCAAATGGTGGAGAGTCCCAGATATAAACCTAGTGGGAGTTTCCCCCCACAGAGGGACAAAAGGACCCCTGATGATCCTCTAATCGCCTGAGCCAAGGTGTGAAACTGGGTGTGGGTCCCAATCAGCCAGAGTTTCAGGTGTGTTTATTGTGAAACCTGGCCCCACCTTATCATGCGAATTCCTGAGGTCAGATGGCCCAGGATGTGAGTGGGCGTTAAGGCGTCTGGGGAGGGATCTCAAAACTGGATTATAGATGGCAGAGAGTTGGTGTCATAAGCCCCGCCTCTGTTCAAAGATGGTCGCTCACAGTGGACATAGATGGCTTCTTTCACTCCTCTTTCAAACCATCTGTCCTCTCTGTCCAAAATGTGAACATTGGCATCCTTGAAAGAGTGACCTTTGACCTTTAGATGCAGATGGACTGCTGAGTCTTGTCCTGTGGAGGTGGCTCTTCTGTGTTCCGCTTGTGAAGTGGCTGTTTGGTCTCTCCGATGTAGATCGGTTGGTTTACGACACCAACTCTCTGCCATCTATAATCCAGTTTTGAGTTCCCTCCCCAGACGCCTTAACGCTCACTCACATCCTGGGCCATCTGATCTCAGGAAATCACATGACAGGGTGGGGCCAGGTTTCACAATGAGCTCACCTGAAACCCTGTCTGATTGGGACCCACACCCAGTTTCACACCTTGGCTCAGGCGATTAGAGGATCATCAGGGGTCCTTTTGTCCCTCTGTGGGGGGAAACTCCCACTAGGTTTAAATCTGGGACTCTCCAGCATTTGACCTTAGAACTGAAGAAGCTTCTCGGATGAGAGGTGAAACGTCTTCAAGTAACTTAACGAAGTCCAGACGCTTTTCTTTGCAAGGACACACGTGTTACACGTGTACACATTTCGTGCTACGTCTGAAACTTTTACATTCTAAATATTTCTCACAAAGATGGTTTGATTACATTGTTTACACAGTGCTACACTGTTGTACTCCAGCGTCTCATAATCAGTATGATGCTCTTGTAATGCCACAGCCTCTTCACTCCACTGACAGCGCTAACCTGGAGCTGCCTCCCTGCTGTGTTTTCTTTCAGGCGGATGCTAAGATGGTGTGCGATGTGGTCAGTCGTATGGAGGACACGGAGCCTTACTCTGCTGAGCTGCTCTCCGCCATGATGCGTCTGTGGTCTGACTCGGGCATCCAGGAGTGCTTCAGTCGCGCACGAGAGTACCAGCTCAACGATTCAGCGCAGTAGTACGTCCATGTGGTTATTTCTGCGTGTTTTTGTTGTGAGGCTGTAAACATTATCAATATCAGTACTGAATCCATTATAACAAAAATAAAAACCTAAATCTGATCCAAAAGTTAGCTTAATGAAAAAGTTAGCAGTGTGCTAGCAGCCAAAGCAATCACAGGGAGGTTTTGCCAACTGGTTGGGGAACTGTGTGGTCTGTAGGTCAGTGCGACTTGGACCTTGTTTGCTTCATCTTACATTGACATCTTTATTTAATTACAGACATCTTTGAAGGATTACAAACACATCCAACACGGCCGACAAGTTAATGTTGCCGTCAACTGTCTGCAAAACCTCAGCACCTGGGACGTTTCCGGCTAATGCTAATAGCTTATAGCTAGCTTGCATGGTTAACAACCTGAGAAGCGTGCTGCCTGCAGTTGACCGCTGAACACAAGTTGCTGCGTAACTTTGGACTAAAGCAAATCGCTTCAAACTTTAAGCAACAGACAGTAAACTTTAGCATTTTGTGAATTTCGAGGAAAAAACTAGAAATCCCGTTTGATAAGACTGTCGGCTCAGTAGGGGGAACCCTGAGTTTAAGCATGATTCCCATCCCTTTGGTGGCTGTAGACACAAAGTGTTTGTAGTGATACCCACAGATGCACCAAATCATCACAGCAAATATATTTGTCTTTGTGTTTGCGTCAGCAGATCCCTGATTTACTGAGACCAGATGAATACATGAGTCATTAGTAGCTGCTACACCGCTTTAAACACAACACGTGAACTTAAACACATACACACTACTGTTTATTCATGCAATCATACCCCGCCTATTACAGTCAATCGCCATTACTGGGTCTCTCTTATGCTGAGTGCATGTGTAGGTAGGAAGAGAGAGAGAGCGAGTGGGTGGGGTAGAGAGGAAGAAGAAGCAGTCATTTCCCTCAAGTGCCATGTTTGTCGTTTAATTGTGTTTCTTACATCCAGTAAAATTACAGCACGACATAAAAAAAAAAGATCGTGGCAGAGGACTCAGTGAAAGTTACATGGATGTTATCATTTAAAGATACAGGCTGCGAGAGAAAAGGTAATAAAAGGTCACGTGAAGGACACAAGGCACGGCGAGAGAGCGAGAGAAATGGAGGAGGCAAAGTGAAGGATCCTTTGAAGGATTACAAACATACTCCTATCAGCATTTACATGTAATCAGTAACTTAAGTAACGTCCACTGTGTGTGTGTGTGTGTGTGTGTGTGTGTGTGTGTGTGTGTGT